AATTTAATACATTTCACTAATAATCATGTCACAAATTAAAATCAAATGATTTGGTATAAAAACCAGAGAAATCTAATTCAGAATAATTATCTTCTCCTTCTTCTTTTTACTCAGCTTACGGCCCATTTAGGGCTAACGCTGCCTGCCACACACCTTTCCATCGTTTCCTGTCTCCTGCATAGTTCCACTCGTATCGTTTCATCTATGGTTCGTAGATCTTTCAGTACTGTATCCAGCCATTTTGCCTTGGCCTTCTTCGTGGTCTTTTTCTATTTAATTTCTTATATAGTACTTCCTTCAAGTCACTACCCTCAATCTTTAACTTTGTAGTTAGTCGTGTAGTTTTCTATATTTTCCATAGACGGGTTTTGTATCGTCGTGAGTCTGGCTTTAGTTCGACTTTCTATCGCATTCTTGCATTCACTGTCAAACCATTCCTCCCTTTTAGTATGTTTAATCGGTCCCATTGTCATATCTGCTGCTTCTTGGATTGCGTTTTTTATTTTCTTCTACATCCCTTCTACGTTTATTGTCTCGTTCGGTACTTCGTTTTCTGTAGGTGCGACTTCTCATTCTTGATAGACTAAATCTTGATATTGATTTCTTTTTTCCTCCTCAGCCAAGGTTTCTGTGTTGTACAGAACTTTCACGCTTTATTTTACATGTTTCCATTTAGTCGATAGTCTAATTCTGAGTTTGATCATGACTAGGAAATGATCTGTGTCATTGTCGGCTCCTCTGAAGTTACGTACGTTCCTGAATATGCTATTGTGCTATTTCTTGTTTTTCTATCTGGTGATATCACAGGTTTGTTTTTGTATATTTTTTCGTGGAAAATATGTACTTGCTATGATTAGGTTATTAGCAATTATATTGAACATAGTTATGTTTAAGAATTTCTATTTATGATTAAAATAATTGATAAACATACCCTGAATCTTTATCCCCAAAAATAATTTTAATTTTATTGATGATTGTTGTATGGCCCAACTTTACCATAGTACCGCCGTCAATTTCTTTGAATACCAGAACACCTTGAGAACCATCAACAAGATTCACATCTGAAAAATAAAATATTTAAAACCACGTAATTTTCTGATTATAAAAATATGTATGCAACAAGCATACTTTGCTGTACTCGAAACGGAAGCTTATGTGGCGGCATAGTGTTTCGGAACAATTTGGCATGCGATATTGTATCCGAACTAACCAACTGTGATATAATGCTGACCTCATTCAGTTCTTTATCACTCATTAATGGATATCTAACAGCACATAAGACATTGTTTATGACACCAGAATTATAGTAGTTTTGGTTCTTTTTGATCCAGCGATCAACCGCATGAAATATATCCAATTCATCGGCAAAAAATGAGTCACGAATAAGAATATCTTGAATAGCTCCCTAAAATTAAAAATTGGTTTTTCAACTTGTATTTAAACAGAAGTAATGAATTTTATTTTTAAATTAAATGTTATTACGGCTGACAAAGATAGAAAATCTTCGGATTGCAATACATCTGAAGCGTGAGATTCGATATACTTGAGCAGATATTCGGGCGATTTTACTACAAATCTTGCAGGTTGATAAAGTCGTGATATATCAAACAACGAACATACGTTACGTACACTTATGTTATTGCTTAAGTGCCCGGCCAGTGTGTATTGTAGTTCTGAGAAAGTATATAAATTCGAGAGTCTAAATAATTCCACAATATCTTCATCCTTAAAAATTGAAAATACACATTGATTAATCGTTTTCTTATGACTATGTTTTTCCAAGTTAACTAATATAACTCAACAGATCGACCTTAACAATCGGACTGCTTTAAATAAAATATGCTAGTGAAATAACGTTAATGTACATCGATTATACATCACCTCTAGATCACTCAAATTCATCCGACCAGTATAAATATACTGAAGAATTATCTTAAATGATGTTACTGATGCATCACTAATGTCCACCTCAGACTTATTGGATTCCTGAAGATCTCCGAAAAACATGATTCTAGAAATTACAAAAACAAATTAACATAGTAATAAAACCACCTAAACCATATATAATGTTTTATAATATTTAAAGCATATAAAAAATATGCTTTAAAAATTATTACAAAATATAGATATTGACTAAAAAAGTCAATATCTATATTTTGTAATGATCTTTAAAATCTTAATATAAATAAATTTAATACGACAGATTTTGTCGGAACGAATTAAATGTTTTGGGTTGTGACCACCCTTTGACAAATAATTAGTTCATACTACGTTCATCGATAAGTACTTATTATTAGTAGCAATTTTTATTATCAGTCTAAAAACCGCTCAACATCAATCAAAACCAAGGTGATATGTACAACAATAAGAACTAAATACCTAAAATATTCACTACGCGAAGTTAAAACAGCACGATGAGCTGGCAATCGTTCTTCATCGACAAATAATAAAGATACATTAAGAAAAAAACAATTTTAAAAATAATTTGCTGAACATTTTGACTGATCACCAACCAGAAAAAATGAAAATCTAAGTAAAAATGGAAAACTCAATTTAGAAAATCCGCAAAATTCAATTTGAGTGAGTAGTAGACCTTTCCTATGTATTTAATGACTAGCGACTAATCAATTTTTGTGATTGAATGTGATTTACAATGTTTACAAATTAAACATAGGCATAATGTATAAGTCTGATATCGGTTTCAAACCTTCTGGGTGATATTAAACAATAGTCAATTTATAACAACAATATGTGTACCTATACAATAAACCGTACACACATTGTATATACAGATTTTCGTTTATTAACTTTTTTATGTAAGTATGGAAAAATATGGTACGCTACTATGATAGAGCTACATATTTTATTTGGTTTTCAACCTCTCACGACAAAGTTTTCTTGGTAGTGTTTTATAAAGTGTTTAACATTTGATATTATATTCACACATTATTTTACACAAAGATGATTTATTTTTTAGTTATTATTATTTTATGGACAACTCCAGGTAGTATTTTATTAATACATAAATAATTTCGTTGCTGTATAACATAAGGTAAAACTAAAACATAAAAGAATGTTGACATACAGTAACTACATTAAATAAATAGTTAATATAATCAGCTAATGTTTAATATATTTTACAATAAAAAACAAACTTTACATTAACGAACTACACTAGGTACTAGGTATATAGTTATTGGTCAACTTAAGTGGTACTTAACCATAGGTAGTTTTTCATAAGCTTAGTACATTTTTTGCGTTTAGTCAAAATATGTATGTACTTTAAGGTTACAAAATGTATTATTTATTTACAATGGTACGGTGTTATTGATTTAAACAAACTAACGCAAGTATTTCATAGATTTTATACACTATAAATTGTACTACACATTGCACACTTAAATAGTTATTATTTTCAGAGAAATCTAATGTCTTATATTTATTATTATTTGACGTTAACCATTATTCGATAAATAAAAAATATTGTTTGCGCTCATTAACACTATTGTTAAAATTTTTGTTAGCATTTTATTATCCTGTTGAGTGTAAACCATGTTCTTCTACTGCCGAACAGGACGAAAAGCAAATCGATCACGGTAACTTAGTGGCCAAAGACATTAGCACTCTATATCTAGATAACAGGTATGTAGGTAAAATTATATTTACAGTAATTAACGTTATTATTTTACCAATTATTTTAATTATTGGTTTAATTTTCTGTAATATAAGTAATTTGTTGTTTAAAATAATTCCAATAATGTAAAACAATTTATAAAATTTTAATTTTAATCATGGCAAAGTTTAATATAGTGCTATCCTATCAGTCGTCTACTATAATTTATCTTTATCAGGATGTCAGTTTTTAACTACATAAAAAATGAGTCATAGTAATAATTATTTTTTTGATAATTTATCTGTATATTATTAAATTAAAATGTTTATTTCAGATTTCCTGATGTTTATTTAGTTGTCGACGAAGTACGATTGCCAGCCCATCGTGCTGTTTTAGCCTCGCGTAGTGAATACTTAAGGTATTTAGTTCTTGTTATTGAGCATATCCTCTTGGTCTTAGTTAATGTTGAGTGGTTTTTAGGGTGATATAAATATTGACTACACATAATGCTTTAATTAGCATGTAACATTTTGTATGGATTAGGTCTTTGATTTTTTTTTACATTGTAAATTTGTTTTTTTGCAATAAATAAGAAATTATAGGTATTTGAACTTAATTTAACGTTGGAAACATGTGTACAATTGATTCAATGATATTTAACCTCCTAAACCATACCGCAGTTAACAGTGACTTTGAGACCGATAGTCTGGGAAGTCAGACTACAAAAGCCTTGGACTTACTAATTGTGGCACATATATTTCGATGCCCCTCCCCCCTGAAAATACTCGTAACCCACTTTATTTTTCACTAATTACACGGATTACTCCTTTGGTCCATTCAAGATTCGACCTTCTATACTGGTTAAACATAAGACACGTGTTTTCAGGTTAAAACAAAACTTAGTTTCAAAAATGTTTTACGACTTCTTCTGTTTGGGCGTCGAGTTAATTTTTTGTATTAATAGCATATAACATTTCTAGAAGCTTATTGTTCAGTGGTCTTCAAGAATCCGGTAAGCTTGAGTTGGAAATTACTGATGCACCATTAGCCACGTTTAAAATAATTCTTTATTATATTTATACCGGTCGTATGAATTTAAGTGATATAAAGGTAACGTATAATAACCACTCTACGTATATCCTATTATTTAAAAGCTGACCGACAGTTTAAGTCGATCGGTTGTTTTTTGGGAATTTTTTAGGAAAAGATATTCATAAGAAAAGATTTAATCCAAGATGTAATTGTATGTATTTCAGGACAAAGTTATTGTGGACTTATATAGTCTCTCGAATTTGTATAGTCTCAAAAACTTACAATACAAACTGTCCAGGTATTTACGTAGCAACTTTAATGTACATAATGTATGTTCTCTGTTTGTTGTGTCACGACTTATTCAGCCCAGATTCTTCGTAGTAGAAACGCCCGAAAATCTGCTGAACTTTATCGAAACTCACGCTTTAGATGTGTTGCAATCAAAAGACTTTCTAAATTTGTCAGCCGTAATGATTTATAACAGATAATACTATTTCACGTGTTAGATGAAGTAGTTGAGAAATACATTTTATTTTTAGGGAGCTCTTTATGATATTATCATTCGTGACTCGTTTTATGCCAACGAATTGGATATATTCCGTGCGGTTTATCGCTGGATCCTTGAAAATCAACCCTACATCGATTCTGATGTCATCAACAATGTTTTATCTGCTATTAGACTTCCATTAATGAATGATGAAGAACTGAATGAGGTTAGCAAATCAAATCTGGTTGGTTCGGAGAAAATTTCGGCTGCCAAGATGTTACGAAACACGGTGTCACCACCTGAGCTTCAATTTCGAGGACTGCAAAGTATGCTTGTTGCACACAATATTGTCTATTCAGAAAATTATTCTGGTTTTAATTATTTTAATTTTTAGATGTGAATCTTATTCATGGTTCTCAAGGTGTACTGGATATCAATGAAATTGACGGTGGTGCTATGATAAATTTGGGTCATTTAACAATAATAAACAATATGAAAATTATTTTTGGGGATAAAGATTCAGGGTATGTTCAATATAATTATTTTGAATTAGATTTCGCTAGTTTTTATTCTAAATAATTTTATTTTGAATATGATGAAATAATTTTGATTTAAAATTAAATAACTATTGGTAAAAAATAAATAATTTTTAATTGTTAATTCTTTACACAACATTTATGTTTATTTTTATTTTATAAGTTATAAAAAAAAATACACAACTGTTCATTCGATTTATTTGACTTATTAGGAATTATAGTTATTACATCGATGTTTCAATTGATGGCCGCCACTGGGTGCGTGTTGTAGATTATTCAGAATATATTTGTAGTTCTGCTCAATATTTGTGGATTCCTATACAAATAGTGTGGTTCATTCGAATAGTTGGTACAAAAAATACTGTTAATAAGAAATTCCAATTATTAGAACTATTGTACAATACTGAAAGATGGGACGCGGTAAAAATCGAAAATGGAATTGTTGGTAAGACCACACCTACCTCATTAAAAAAAAAAAACCCCGGTATTTTAATTACATAAAAACATAAAACATATTTATCTAGTTGGCTTATTTCAATTTTTTAGCTCCCAAGTACAATGTTGCTATAAAATCTATGGATGCAACTGTAATTGAAGGTACACCAAATGAATCAAGACATCAAATGCTTAAACCCTACTATGGGGACTGCATACGGTATCAAAATTATACAGGGCATCGTCTGGGATCGGGTTGTATTCGGGTTCAACTCGCACAACCTTATATACTTCGTTCAATGAGGTAATAGTTTTTAAGAACTTGCCATTTTTAAATGACTACACAGTTTTGTATCTTCAAATTTGTTGAAAAATGTTGGTGTATTGGTAGATTGCCTAAGATACGTATATGTTGTATGCGTTTAGCTACATAGACCTAACTCGAATGTTCACCAACTAATTCATTATTTGTTAAATGATTCTTATCGACTTTCATATCAGCAGATTTTGTTTTAACGTTAGGTTTATTTTAGTTGAATTATTGATATTATTGCGATAATTTACAGAATGCTGCTTTGGGATAATGATGACTTATTCTACAGTTACACTGTAGAAGTTTCTGTAAATAATCAGGATTGGGTAATGATCATAAACAATTCTGAGGAGCAGACACATGGTTGGCAGGTGTTGCATTTAAAACCCAGGCCGATAGTGTTCATTCGTATTACCGGCGTGCGCAATTCAAGAGGCTCAGTGTGTAAAAACTAATTTGAAATTGTATTAACTTTTAATAACTCATTTAAATTGTAGATTTTTCGTTGTGTATATTTTGAGGCTCCCGCTCAAGTACCATTAGATTCCACCAACTTTGATGACGGTCGTGATGTAACACATTATTGGGTAAGTGCATTAAAGTCAATGCATACTATTGTTGGTTTTGTATAGCAATTATGGTTTTTACTATCAAAAAGACGAACATTTAACGTTAATTTCTGTTTCAGGAGAACAACGAAAGAGATATTACCATGACTGATGCATCGCGTCATTGATAGATCTTAGATTTATACATATCTTCAGTTAATGGTTGGCGCCTTACTATGACAAAAGCATCAAGTCATGTTTTAGTCCTTAATCAAAATATATTAAGATATTTATTTTCCTTCTGCGCTAACATAAATTGACAGATAATATTAAATATTTATTTTACTGTTGTATTCTTTGTATTCACTTAAAATAAATACATGTTGTATTTTTAAAAGGCTTTAAAGATATTTAAGTTTAAATACGGCTTAGCTATCCATCCCGTCTTTGGTCTAATTTAATCCTATCGTCCGTCCTTCCGGCCTATTCCAACCAATTAGGTAAGCAGGCACGTTATAAAAACAAAGTTGTAATTATTTTGAAAAAATAATGTGTGTGTTACAGGCAATGCGTATATTTATCTAATATTTATAAATTAATTTTCTCTTTTTTGTTTGATATAAAAAAAGGGCGAAGTGTATGTATCCTAATTTAGACAATTCTTATCATGTATAATAAGTAGAGTGAAGGGGTGTAGCTTGTGTAACAAGTTTAAATTTCGGTACATAAATAATTTGCGTTTAAAACATAACACTTATTACTCTTTATTTTGAAATGTTTACATCATTAAGGGCGTCCTAAAAGTATTTTAAAAATTAAATAACTTTTGTTCTACCGAATAATTTAAAGTTTTTAGTTTACAAAAAAATTTCAGTATGATATTGAATTTATTTACTATTCTGTACACTGAATGCTAAATAAATAGTACCCAACAATTGACTTATATATTAGATATTAATTTCTGCCCTTTTTGACGGGTTTTACCGCTTTACATCGCGTGATAAATATTCAGAAATTCCCATAAAGACAGTTGGGCTCTTCGAATATAAAACAAATATGAATACATTTGGCAAATTAAAACGTTTCTAAAATTATCACATCTACCATAAATAATAACACAACGTAGAAATATTGCAATATATTAAGATACTACGGTAAAAACAAGTATAATATAAAGGATATAACATTTTAAATATCTAATATATTCTAATCTAATATTGTAAATGGAATCAAATAGTATATCACTTTATAGTTATATATTGTTTAATGTAGGCCAGAATTGAAATCTGACAAACATCCTATACATCATATCCAGTTTAAATTTTTATTACATATAACATTTTATATTATAATTTATAAATCATATTCAATCACACTGATTGTGAACTGATTGCAAACTTTTCCAAATATAAAGAAAGTCTATATTATTTCAAATGAACTGCACTGGTTTTTAAAAATTAAGTTTTCCAAGTTTTTTAAAGAGGAAGTGTTAAAATCTGTATATTTATGATGCCTACAGGAAAACCTATGAATAATTGATAGATCGGATAAATGAAGATGTCATGATACAGCTTTTTGCTTCCAAGTTCACACAAAAATTTGCAGAATTTAGTTATACACCGCACGCCGACAAGACACATTTGGCGGCATTATTAATTATGTTGATGTGTATGGTTTCAAACAAATAATTGTACTCATTGAATATACAGGGTTTCCCACAGATATTTGACAAATTAAATAACTTTTTTTAATGGTTTTTTTTTTCTTAAATTTGATATTAATAATTTAAAGTTATAATAGTAAAACAGATAGGACGGGAGGGGAAGTGTGGTTGGGAAGTGCGCGTGGATAAAAATAATATTACACTGCACCTTTCTTTCCAGTGAAATATTGACTGGCCCATGATAAAAAGTCACCCTGTATATTAGACTGATGTCGGTTTTAAACCTTCTGGGCATTAGTCAAACATCAGTCAAAATACAGCAATAATAACTTTATGTACCTACACCAAAAAACGAACACAAATCGTATACACGGTTTTTCGTTTATCAACGTTAGTATGTAAGTATGGAAAAATATGTTACGGTACTTTGATATAAGTACATTTTTCAGTGGGCTTTCAAACACTCATGACCAGTTAGTAGAGTAATCCGCGTAGAGTTATTTTTATCTGCGCGCGTTACCTACCGCACTCCACCTCCATGATGACCTCGCAGTCATCTTTACTTTCAAATTAGTATAACTTTTCAACGGATGAACAAAAATACAAATTTTTACACCAATTATTTTTTAAAAATTATTTTTATAAAAATGGATATCTAGAAAAAAAAAATTTAATAAAATAAATAAAAAAATTGTAAAAAAATTAAAACAGGTAAGTACAATAAAACCCGTTGTGCTTATATCGCAAATGAGAATATATTTTTTTTTAAAATACAATCTCAAAAATATTCACTAGTACAAAAGTTATTTAATTTGTCAAATCTTTGTGGGTCACCCTGTATAATCCATACTTACTCTATAGCAAAATCAGTTTTCTTCTTTAATTTCTTTTAGCGTGTTATGAGCCTGTGGAGTGTACACCATCTCCTTCTACAGCCAAACAGCACAGCAAAGAACCAATCGATCACAGTCAGTTATTGGTCAAAGACATTAGCGCTTTATATCTAGATAAAAGGTATGTAGGTTAGATTAGGTCTTTGCACCAATAATATTATTATTATGCCAATTATTTTCATTACTGGTTTAATTTTCTGTAATATAAGGAATTTATTATTTCAAGTACTTCTAATAATAATAAAACATGTATAAAATTTTAATTATAGGCTTTAATTTGGGAAAATTATAGCTAGTGTTTGCCTATAACTAGTAGAAAATTATCATCTCACGGTAAAAGGCCTGTTGACCTTGAAAAAAATTATTAAAGAAAAGTTGTCTACCATTATTTATCACGATCAGTATGTCAGTTCTTAACTACATAAAAAGTGAATCGTAATAATTATTATATTTATGATAGTTCGTATCTGTATAATAGAAAATTATAATGTTTATTTCAGATTTTCTGATGTTGTTTTAATTGTCGATGGGGTACACTTGCCAGTCCACCGTGCTGTTTTAGCTTCGCGCAGTGAATATTTTAGGTATTTAGTACTTGTTGTTGAGCATATTATAACCATAGTGTTAATTGATTTTGAGTGGTTTTTAAAATGCTAAAAAAGTTGTTATTAATAAATAAATACTTATCGATAAATGTAATAAAAACTAATTATTGTTTGTCAAAGGGTGGTCACAACCTAAAACAGTTAATTTATTTATATTACATTTTGAAAATCATTACAAAATGTAGATATTTACTAAACACAATGCTTTAATTAGCATGAAACATTTTATATCGTTAAGGTCCATGAGTGTTTTTTGCATTTTAAATTTGTTTTTGCAATTAATGAGATATTATGTCCAATCTAAATTTAACATATTTGTTGGAAACGTGTGTAGAATTGATTCAATGATATTTAACTTCCTAAACCATACCAGAGTTTACGGTAAGTTTTAGACAGATATTCTGGGAGGTCATACTACAAAACCCTTAGCCTTACTGATAATAGCACATATATAACGATGCCCCTCCCCCCTGAAAACGGTCTTAACTCACTTTAACTTTAACTGGTTACATAGATAACTTCTTTGGCCCATTTAGGATACGACCAGCTATACCGGTTAAACAGATGACACGTGTTTTCAGGTCAAAACAAAACTTGATTTCAAAAATTGATTACGACTTTTTCCGTTGGGGTCGTTGAAATAATTGTTTGCAATAATATCATGTATAATTTCTAGAAGCTTATTGTTTGGAGGTTTTCAAGATACCGATAAGTCTGAAGTAAACATTAAAGATGCATTTTTTACCATTAACCATTTAGTAGCCATTCTATAATGACTACTTAGTCGTATATTGTCATGCTTGTAGAAAAAATTGTGATGTCTTGATAGATTACCTAAGATACCATTTTTATCTGGCCAATTTGTATGTGTTCAGCTAAATAGACCTAACTTAAATGTTCATCAACACTTTCGTTATAGGTTTTAATATTCGGTTTATATCGATAACAATATAGATATTATTGTCATAATTAACAAAATGCTACTTTTGGACCTGAGTGACCGATTCTACAGTTACACCGTCGAAGTTTCTGCCAATAATCAGGATTGGGTAATGATCATAAACAATTCTGAGGAGCGGACACATGGTTGGCAGGTGCTGCATTTAAAATCCAGGCCGATAGTGTTCATTCGTATTACTGGCGTGCGCAATCCCAAAGGCTCTGTGAGTAAAAATTATTTTTAAATTTTATTTACTTTTAATAACTCATTTAAATTGTAGATCTTTCGGTGTGTATATTTTGAGGCTCCCGCTCAAAAACCATTGCAATCAACCAACTTTAATGACGGTCATGATGTAACACATTTTTGGGTAAGCACATCAAAGTCAATGCATACGATTGTTGGTTTTGTATAGTAATTATGGTTTTTAATATCAAAAAGACGAAAATTTAACGTTAATTTCTGTTTTCAGGAGAACAAGGAAACAGATATTCCTACGGCAGAAGCATCTGGTCATGTTCCAACCCTAAACCAAATATGAATAAAAAAGACATTTTTTTTCTCTCTGTGCTAACCAAAATTGACGGATATTAAACATCTATTTTATTCTATATTTTACTGTAATGTTGTTTGTATTTATCTTACATGCTGTATTGTTTATTGTGTAAGACAAAATAGTTTGGGGAGTCTGCAGTCAAACCGGACAATGAGCTGGGTTCACCGATGCTCAGTTAGTTGACATACTATTGCCTTTGGACTTTGACCTAATTAATTTCAAGCTATCACTTTTTGTTTGTGTTTAACTCCGTTCGTAACTGGACGAACTACGTGGAACGCTTTAGTATCCATGTAGAGCTGTAATACATATTAATATATGTAAATATTACATAGATATACTTATTTAATAAAGTCATAAAAGGAGTGTCGGCCGGTGTGTACAAAAAGGCTTTAATATGAAATTGATGATACCTATACATTGATAATCAATATACCCGGTATATTGATAATACCTATTCAAAAACTAATGTATTAGAATAGGTAATTTGTAATTTGACAGTTTTAGTGTTTCGTCTTTTTCTACAAAAAACATTTTAAACCAATAGTTGTGTATAAAATTGGCTTTTTGTGTTAGGGCTCGAATATACTATTGTTGTATACTGTTAAAAAACGTCCACTGATTTTAACCAGATATGTATAGAACTTATACATCATTAACATGTTTTGTGTGCCTACACTAAAAATTCGTACATCGACTATATACACAATTATTGGTTTATAAAATGTATCAGGTATGGGTATAGAGTATAAGACTGATATATGTTTTAAATATTCTGGGTAATATTAAACAGTAGTCAATATACAACAATAATATGTTTGTTTACCTACACAAAAAACCGAACACAAAATGTATTATAAAGTAATGTATAATAAAGATACATTAAGAAAAAAACAATTTTAAAAATAATTTGCTGAACATTTTGACTGATCACCAACCAGAAAAAATGAAAATCTAAGTAAAAATGGAAAATTCAATTTAAAAAATCCGCAAAATTCAATTTGAGTGAGTAGTAGACCTTTCCTATGTATTTAATGACTAGCGACTAATCAATTTTTGTGATTGAATGTGATTTACAATGTTTACAAATTAAACATAGGCATAATGTATAAGTCTGATATCGGTTTCAAACCTTCTGGGTGATATTAAACAATAGTCAATTTACAACAACAACATGTGTACCTATACAATAAACCGTACACACATTGTATACACAGATTTTGGTTTATTAACTTTTTTATGTAAGTATGGAAAAATGTGGTACGCTACTATGATAGAACTACATATTTTATTTGGTTTTCAACCTCTCATGACAATGTTTTCTTTATAATGTTTTATAAAAAGTTCAACTTTTGATATAATATTCCCACATAATTTAACCGGAAGATGATTTATTTTTTAGTCATTACTATTTTATGGACAACTACAGGTACATAACAAATTTTATAAATACATTAATAATTTTGTGTCTTTATAATTTGATCGCAGCTTTCTCGTGACAAGCGTTCTTATTATTCAAGATGCATAATACCTATAAAAATCATTTAGGCAAGGATAGTGTCACACTTAAGTTAAAACTGGAAAATAAAAAATAATTTAGCATTTAATAACTATACTAAATAAGTATTTAATGATCTTCTAAAGTGGTTCAAAGTTAATTTTTCATAATCTTAGTATAATTTTTGCGTTTATCCAAAATATGTATGTACTTTAAAGTCACACATTTTTTACTGTATTAAGTAGGTAAGATGTTATTTACTTAAACAAACTAGAACAAGTATTTTATAGATATTATAAGCTACACAGTTTATTATTATTCAACTTTCAAAATTGTTAAAACGTATTGATTACGCTAAATAATACTATTGTTATATTTTATTTCAAAAACTAATGTAAAAATGTAAAACCGGAATGCTCAATGGTACAACGCATCGTAAATAAATAAATCACACTAACTCTACAGCAAAATCAGTTTATTTTTTAAATATTTTTTAGCATGTTATTATCCTGTTGATTGTACACCATCTTCTTCTACAGCCGAACAACACGAAAAGCAAATCGATCACGGTGACTTAGTGGTCAAAGACATTAGTACACTGCATCTAGATAACAGGTATGTTAGTAAAATTATATTTACACCAATCTACTTTATTATTTTTATTATTAGTTTAATTTTTTGTTATGATAAGGAATTTATTATTCAAATATTTCTAATAACAATAAAAAAAATTATTAAATTTCAATGTCAATTATAAACTTTAATATATTCTTCCTAATTTTGGGAAAAGTGCTGGTGCTATCCTATCAAAGACAAAATATTATTGATAGGTGCATTATTTTTGATAATTATTAAAGAACAGTCGTCAACTGTCATTTATCTTATTCAGTATGTCGGTTTTTAACCAAAATTCGTTTCTGTATAATATTAAATTATAATGTTTATTTCAGATTTCCTGATGTTGTTTTAATTGTCGACGAAGTACGATTGCCAGCCCATCGTGCTGTTTTAGCTTCGCGCAGTGAATATTTTAGGTATTTAGTTCTTGTTATTGAGCATATCCTCTTGGTATAAGTTTATGTTAAGTCGTTTTTCGGGTGATATAGATATTAACTACCCATAATGCTTTAATTAGCATGTAACATTTTATATGGATTAGGTCTTTGATTTTTTTTTACATTGTAAATTTGTTTTTTTGCAATAAATAAGAAATTATAGATATTTGAACTTAATTTAACATATCTGTTGGAAACGTGTGTACAATTGATTGAATGTTATTTAACTTCTTAAAGCATACCAGAGTTTATGGTAAGTTTTAGACCGATAGAACGTGATGTCACAAAAAAAAAAAACAACAAAAGCTATGGCCTTACTGTCGTAACTCACTTCATCTTTAACTGATTTCACGGATTACTTCATTGCCCCTTTATGATACGACCATCTATGCCGGTTAAACAGAAGACACTTGTTTTCAGGTCAAAACAAAACGTTTTAAAAACGAGTTACGACTTTTTCCGTTGAGGGGGTTGATTTAGTTGTGTGTATTAATATCATATTTAATTTCTAGATGCTTATTGTTCGGAGGTCTTCAAGAATCCGAAGGGCCAGAAGTGAACATTAGTGATGCACCATTGGCCACGTTTAAAATAATTCTTTATTATATTTATACTGGTCGGATGAATTTAAGTGATCTAAAGGTGACGTATAATCTATTTTTTAAAAGCTTTGCGATCGTTTAAGTCTATCGGCTATGATTTATTAGTTAATTTGGGTAATGATATTCATAAAAGTTAATAAAAGATGTAATTTTTTATTTTTCAGGATAAAGTTATTGTGGAATTATTTAGTCTCTCGAATTTATATGAACTCTCAGACTTACAATACACACTGTCCCAGTATTTAAGCAATAACATAAATGAACATAATGTATGTTCTTTGTTTGTTATGTCACGACTTTGTCAGCCCAAAACCTCCGTGGTAAAATCACCCGAATATCTGCTCAATTTTATCGAAACTCACGCTTTGGATGTATTGCAATCAGAAGATTTTCTAAATTTGTCAGCCGTAATAATATTTAAAAAGAAAACTTATATTACTCGTGTTAGATCTCAAGTTGAAAAACAAATTTTAATTTTAGGAAGCACTTCAAGAAATTCTCACTCGTGACTCGTTTTTTGCCAACGAATTGGATATATTTCGTGCGGTTTATCGCTGGATCCTTGAAAACCAACTCTACATCGATTCTGATGTCATCAACAATGTTTTATCTGCTGTTAGATTCCCATTGATGAATGATGAAGAACTGAATGAGGTTAGCGTATCAAATCTGGTTAGTTCAGAGAAAATTTTGTATGCCAAGTTGTTACGAAACACGGTGTCGCCACATGACCTGCAGCTTCGAGTACAGCAAAGTATGTTTGTTGCACACATACTTTATTATTCATCAAATTATGTTGGTTTTAAATATTTTAATTTTCAGATGTGAATCTTATTCAAAGTGTTGTGGATATCAATAAATTTAACGGTGGTGCTATGATAACTTTGGGTCATTTAACAATTATAAACAAAATTATATTTCTGTTCGGTTATAAAAATTGTGTTTATCAAGGGTATGTTTATCAATATTTTTAATCATAAATGGAAACTATTCAATATAGTTGTGTTCAATATAATTATTTTGAATTTGATTTCACTGATTTTTATTCTAAATAATTTCATATTTTATTTATGAAAATGTTTCGTAAATAAAATATAGTAGCCAGTGGCTACTGGCGGTCTGTTCCTCTGAAGGTGCAAATGTCTGGCATGAAATGGTCACTTGCACCTCTCTCTGGGGCCAACTTGTTAAACGTATTAGAGAGAGAGAAAGAGAGAGTGATTTATAAAAAATTATATTTTTTTTTAATATGAAATAATTATTTATTATATACACAACGTTTATGGATTTATTATTTTATAAGTAATAAAAAAATATACAATGGTTGTTTGAATTTTTAGGGATTACAGTTATTACATTGATGTTTCTATTGATGACCACCACTGGGTGCGTGTTGTAGATTATTCAGATTATATTTGTCGTTCTGTTCAACATTTGTGGATTCCTAAGCAGATGGTTAGGTATATTCGAATAGTTGGTACAACAAATACTGAAAAAAAAAAGTTCCAATTATTAGAACTATCGTACGATACTGAAAGATGGGACTCATTGAAAATCGAAAATGGATTCGTGGGTAAGATCACCACACCTAATTGCAAAATATTAATATCCAAAAAATATAATTTTTATATATCTAGTTGACTTGTTTTTATTTCTTAGTTCCCAAGTATAATGTTGCTGTAAAATCTTTGAATGCAAATGTAGATGTCGGTGAATCGAATGAATCAAGATTTTTCCTACTTGAACCCTACTATAGTGACTATAATAACTTTCGGTATAACAAATATACATGGCATATTCCGGGATCAGGTTGTATTCAGATTCAACTTTCACAACCTTATATACTCAGTTCAATGAGGTAATGATTTAATGAACTTGCCATATTTAAATGGTTGCTTTATTTTTTATCATCATATATGTTGAAAAAATTGTGTCTCAATTGATTGCCTAAGATATCATTTATATCTGGCCAATTTGAATGCGTTCAGCTGCATAGACCTAACTTGAATGTTCGTTATCGTTTTTATGAATTTTATTGGTTTTCATATCAGCAACTTTTGTTTTAATATTTTGCTTTTATTGATAATAATATTAATATTATTGTAATAATTGATAGAATGCTGCTTTGGGACCAGAGGGGCCTATACTACCATTACACTGTAGAAGCTTCTTTCGATAACCAGGAATGGGTAATGATCATAAACAATTCTAAGAAACGGACACATGGTTGGCAAGTGTTACATTTTAAACCCAGGCCGATTGTATTCATTCGTATTACCGGCAAGGACAATCCAAAATACTGGGCGAGTAAAAATTAATAAACATTTTTTTAAAATTTTAATAAATAATTTATTTTTTAGATTTTTCATTGTGTATATTTTGAGGCTCCCGCTCAAGTACCATTAGATTCCACCAACTTTGATGACGGTCATTGTGTAACACATTATTGGGTAATGTATACTATTGTTGGTTTTTATAGCAATTATGGTATTTACTATCAAAAAGACGAACATTTAACGATAATTTCTGTTACAGGAAGACAACGAAACAGATATTACCATGACTGATGCATCGGGAAGTTGATACATTTTAGATTTATATATATCTTCAGTTAATGGTTGGTGCCTTACTATGACAGAAGCATCGGGTCATCTTTTAGTCCTTAACCAAAATATAATAAGATATTTGTTTTCCTTCAGCGCTAACTTAAATTGACAGATAATATTAAATATCTATTTTACTGTTATATTCTTTGTATTCACTTAAATAAACACATGTTGTATTGTTTTACGATTGTGTTTCACAATGTTAAAATTTTAACGGTCACATTTAGCCTTTCCAGTTCATCTCCAAATATGCATTATTAGCACTTTACCCCGTTTATCGTGTAAGCCATTATAGTTTGAGGAGACAACAGACAAACGAAACAATGAGCCAGAGCACCGATACTCAGTTATATGACATACTAACATCTTCGGACCGTGATCTATTTACCTTAAGCCATTATTTATTTTGAGGTACGATCGCTTGTTAAGCTCCTCAGGCGGTAAAGCAAACAAAATACTTTAAAGATATTTAAGTTTAAATACGGCTTAGCCATCCATCTTGTTTTAAGTCTAATTTAATCATATCGTCCGTCGTTCCGGCCTATTCTAACCAATTAGGTAAGCAGGCACGTTATAAAAATAAAGTTGTAATTATTTTAAAAGAAAATATGCGTGTTTCACAATATATTTTTTACAATTATCGTTTTAATATTCTTATATTACACCTTAAATTTAAAACAAACAACGGTAAGAGATTTTCACAATTATTAAGCCATGCTATGTACGCGCGATAAAACTGTTATAATTATTTTATATAAAATTTTACATAATCATTCCGTTAAAAAAAATATAAAATCGGGTATGTGGATGTTACCCGAATAAACAAATTATACAAACTCGTTCAAAAAATGAGTTGATTTTTATATTTAATTAGCATGTTATTTTATTGCTTTGCGTTATTTTTTAATGTATTTTTATAGAAGGTTTATTTAGCTATTTCGCTATCCTACTTATATTGTAGAGATTTGTGAAAACCGAAAATTAAAAAAAAATATTCCCTTGGTTCTATGGTAAAAACATCTGTGGCTCCTTTGCACTTTTAATTCAATAGTATTATACTCTGTGTGAATTTTCTAGGTTTTTTTAATGAGGTTTTTTAACAAGCAATGAGCATTTTTATCTAATATTTAATATATATTAATTTTAATAATATATTATTTCATATAAGCTTCGCTGATTTTTAAAATTTCGTTTTCCATTTTGACTTAAGAGTTCTAGAAAGAGCAACTGTTAAATCTGTATATTTCTGATGCTCATAGAAAAACCGATAAATAAGTGACAGATCAGATAAATGAAGATATATAAGTGTGTGGATGTTTTCGAATATATTGAATCTGGGTCGTGATACAGCTTTTTATTTTCAAGTTCACGCAAAAATCTGCAAAATTTAGTTATACACCGCACGCCAACAAGACACATTTGGCGGCATTATTAATTATGTTGAAGTGTGTGGCTTTGAAAAGTATACAGGGTTTCCCACAAAGATCTGACAAATTAAATAACTTTTTTTATTGGTTTTTTTTAAATTTGATATTAATAATTTTAAGTTATAATAGTAAAACAGATAGGACGGGAGGGGAAGTGTGGTTGGGAAGTGCGCGCAGATAAAAATAATATTACACTGCACCTTTCTTTCCAGTGAGATATTGACTGGCCAATGATAAAAAAATCATCCTGTATATTAGACTGATGTCGGTTTCAAACCTTCTGGGACCGTTTTCTTTATAGTGTTTTGTATAATGTTAAACGATTGATAATATATTTCCACATAATTTAACACGAAAATGATTTATTTATTTGTCATTATTATTTTACGTACAACTCCAGGTACATAATATATTTTACAAATGCATTAATAAATTTGTTTCTTTATAAATTGATCGCAGCAATCTCTAAATGTAAAATCAGAATGCTCGATAATACACCGTATCATTAATATACAGGATGGCCTACAAAGATTTGACAAATTAAATAACTTTTGTTCTAGTGGATATTTTAGAGATTTTTTTTTTAATATGTTAGTAGAGTAATCCGTGTAGAGTTATTTTTATCTGCGCGCGTTACTTACCGCACTCCACCTCCCGTCATCAGTCATCCTCACTGTCAAACGAATATAACTTTTGAACGGATGAATGAAAAAAGAAATTTTTTCACTAATTATTTTCTAAAAATTAGTTTAAATAAAACTATGGCTATCTTGAAAAAAAAATGTAATAAAAAAAATAATAAATAAAATAGGTTGTATTATTTTATGGTTGAAATAAAATTTTAGTTTTTCGCAATGCACTTAACACCGTATAGCTTGTAAGCTATAATAGTTTGTGGAGACAACATACAAAAGGGTCAATGAGCCGTGTCACCAATGCTCAGTTAGTTGACAAACTACCATTTTCGGACCAAGACCTAATTTATTTTAAGCCATAACTTCTTTAGAGGTACGATCGCCTGTTATGCTCCTCAGACGGTATAGTAAATATTTGTAAAAGACTTGAGGGATATTTATATTTAAATACGACTTGGCCATCCATCCTGTCTTTGGACCCACTAACTTATTTATTTACTATAAATTTAATGGACAAACGTCCTTTAATAGATATGGACAAAAAAACATATATTATAAAGACTATTGAAAAATTGCATGATTACCTTAATTAAAATAAATTCACAAATAATTTAATCCTATCGAATGTCGTTTTGGCCTAGCCTAGTCAAGTCAACTGGCTAAGGAAATTCTAAATTTTTTTAAATGAACTTTGCTGATTTTTTAAATTTAGTTTTCCATTTTGACATTGGGTTTTATATAGAGCATTTGTTAAATCTGCATTATAATGCCTATAGAAAAAACGATGAATAAGTATAAGACCTTATATCCGGTTTAAACCTTCTGGGCAATATTAAACGTTAGTCAATATACAGAAATAACATATTTATGTACCTACACAAAAAAAAACATATCGTGTACACAGATTTTCGTTTATCAACTTTAGTATGTAAGTATAGAAAAAAATGGTACGCTACTATGATAAAACTACATTTTTAAACACTCATGACGATTTTCTTTATAGTCTTTATAAAGTATTCACATTTAATATTAAATGCCCTCATCATTTAACACGAAGATGATTTATTTTTTTGTCGTTATTATTTTATGGACAACTCCAGGTACATAATATATTTTACAAATAAATTAATCAATTTGTCTCTATATAATTTGAACGCAGCAATCTCTAAGCGTTATTATTACTATAGATGTACAATACCTACATGACATTTAAAAATCTTTTAGACAACGCTAGTATCACACTTAAGATAAAACTAGAACATACACAAACTCTGACATTCAATAAGTACATTAGTTATATAGTTATTGATCAACTTAAGTGGTTCTTAACCATCGTTAATTTTTCATAAGCTTAGTTAATTTTTGTGTTAATCCGATATATGTACACAAATGTTACGATTTTTTTTTATCGTGTTTACGTAGGTATGGTGGTATTTATTTGTACAATCCAACGCTATTATTTTATAGATTTTATACACCATACAACGTACTACACGTCCATTACACACTTATAAACATTATTAATTATATTCAAAGATAACTAATGTCATAAATGTACTATAACTCCATGTACATACCTAATATATTTTACAAATAAATTAGGAATTTTGTTTCTGTATTATTCGAACGCAGCAATCTCTAAGTGTTATTATAAGTTATTACTAACGATGTAAACCACAGTTAATTTTTTGATAATCGAATTATAATAATTTTTGTGTTCCGCCAAAATATTTATGCATTTCTAAGTCACAAATGTTTTCCTTGTTTTTACATAAGTAAGATATTATTTATTTGAACAAACCAACGAAAATGTTATTTATAATTTATACGCTATACAACGTATTACACGTCCATTACACGCTTAAAAACTTCAAAAAATTGTAATTATTTTCAGAGAAATCTAATGTCATACATTTATTATTATTTGACCATGACAGTTTTTTAATTATTAAAACGTATTGTTTGCGCTCAAAAACAATATTTTTATTATTTTATTTGATTAACTAAGTAAACAGTATGAATAATTAGTGAAATTGGATGGCTTGATAGTACACCGTATTCTAAATAAATAAACCATACTTTCTCTACAGCAAAATCAGTGTGTTTTTTAATTTTTTTTAGCATGTTATAATTCTGTTGATTCTACACCATCTTCTTCTACAGCCGAACAGAACGAAAAGCAAATCGAACACCGTGACTTAGTGGTCAAAGACATTAGCACTCTGTTTCTAGATGACAGGTAAGTTGGGTAGGTTAGGTCTTTGCACCAATTACTTTATTATATAACCAATTATTTTTATTGTGGGTTTAATTTTCTGTAACATAAGGAATTTATTATTTCAAATATTTCCAATAATAGTAAAATAATTATAAAATTTAAATATAAATTTTAATCTTAAATTTATGTTTCTTAAATTTGAAAAAAGCTTAAGCTAGTGTTATCGAATCATAGATATAATATTATTATTAGGTGAATTATTTTTGATAATAATTAAAAAAAAGTCGTCTAATATTATTTATCTTAATCAGTATGTCGGTTTTTAACAACGTAAAAAGTGAAAAATATTAATTACTATTTTTTGATAATTCGTTTCTGTATATAATGTTTATTTCAGATTTTCTGATGTTGTTTTTATTGTCGATGAGGTACAATTGCCAGTCCACCGTGCTGTATTAGCTTCACGAAGTGAATATTTTAGGTACCTATAAAGTTTTTTAATTAAACATATCACCTTAAAATTAATTGATTTTGAGTAGTTTTAGACAGATAGTCTGGGAAGTCATACTACAAAAGCCTCAGGCTTACTGATTGTGGCACATATTTTCGACGCTCCCCCTATGAAAACGGTTTTGACTCACTTTATCTTTAACTGGTTACACAGATTACTTCTTTGGCCCATTTATAATACCACTATCTATTCCGGTTAAACAGAAGACATGTGTTTTCAGGTCAAAGCGCAACTTAGTTTCAAAAATGATTTACGACTTTTTTCGTTGGGGTCGTTGAAATAATTGTTTGCATTAATATCATGTATAATTTCTAGAAGGTTATTGTTCGGAGGTTTTCAAGAATCCGATAAGCGTGAAGTGAACATTAGTGATGCACCATTAGCCTCATTTAAAATAATTCTTGAATATATTTATACTGGTCGGATGAATTTAAGTGATCTAAAGGTGAGGTATAACCGATATATTTTATGGCTATTTACACTACGTATACCCTATTTTATTAAGAGGTGTGCGATGGTTTAAATCGATCGGTTGTGTTTAATAAGTTAGTTTGGAAAAAGATATTCATATGAAAACAATTAAACAATGATTTAATTTTATTTTTTCAGGATAAAGTTATTGTAGAATTATTTAGTCTGTCGGATTTATATGAACTCTCAGACTTACAATACACACTGTCCCAGTATTTAAGCAATAACATAAATGAACATAATGTATGTTCTTTGTTTGCTATGTCACGACTTTGTCAGCCCAAAACCTCCGTGGTAAAATCACCCGAATATCTGCTCAATTTTATCGAAACTCACGCTTTGGATGTATTGCAATCAGAAGATTTTCTAAATTTGTCAGCCGTAATAATATTTAATTTAAAAATAAAATTCATTACTTCTGTTTAAATACAAATTGAAAAACAAATTTTATTTTTAGGGAGCTCTTAAAGAAGTTCTCACTCGTGACTCGTTTTGTGCTAACGAATTGGAAATATTTCGTGCGGTAAACCGCTGGATGATAGAGAACCAAGACTACTTAGATTCAGATGCCATCAACCAAGTTTTATCTACTGTTAGATATGCATTAATGAGTGATGGAGAACTGGATGAGGTTAGCATATCACAACTGGTTAGTTCGGAAAGAATATCGGAAACAATTTCGGATGCCAAGTTGTTACGAAACACGGTATCACCACACGAGCTTCAGTTTCGAGTACAGCAAAGTATGCTTCTAGCACACAACATTTTATATTCATCATATTATGTCGGTTTTAATTTTGAAATTTTCAGATGTGAATATTGTTAATGGTTCTCAGGGTGTTTTGGATATTAATGAATTTGACGGAGGTGCTATGATAACTTTGGATCATTTAACAGTTATAAACAAAATTATGATTATATTCGGGGATAATAATTCCGGGTATGTTTATCAATATTTTTTAATCATAAATGAAAATTATTCAATAGAGTTGTGTTCAATATAATTATTCTTTATTCGATTTCACTGGTTTTTATTTTAAATAATTATATTTTTACACTATTTACATAACTTGAGGTTACTCCCACTTGGATGTCTTGACTAGTTCGATAATGTTTCGGAATACTTGCACGTTCCATGTTCAAGGCTGTGGTTCGATGCTGCTCGCTCCGCGCTCTTCTGCAGACTGACCGATTCGCTCCCGTGGGTGTATGTTATATACCATACCCCCAACCGCATTATCCGCTTCCTCTTGCCGCTGCCAGCTTTTTTCTACGGCCACGCCCCTTCGCCATGGCCGGCTACAGCGTGACTGATTTCTGTTGTCAATAGTTTCTTGCTGCCAGCTGTTTTTTACGGTCACGCCCCATTTTCTTGACCGGCTGCCGGATGACTGATTTTTGTTTCCGCTATCAATAGTTTCTTGCTGTATTTCCGGCTCTCTTCGTCCCGTTTGGTCTCCGGTTTCTTTTGGTCCTCTTTTTAATTGATGTATCACCGGTTTCCACGTTTTGCTCAATTTCCAACCATCTTCTCCGTTGAAGTTTGTTGTGCATTTTTCGATTTCTCTGGCTTCCCTCAGCATACGTTTCGAGTAATAAGATTCTCGGGACAGGACCACGATTTCTTCAAAGCTTACGCTATGACCTTCTTGACCCACGTGTTCTGCTACGGCCGATTTTCCAGTTCTTTTGTAGTTAACATCTTATTCGTGTTCTCTGGCACGTATTTTCAATAGGTCGTTTTGTTTGCCCGATGTATGAATGACCACAGGTACACTGAAGTTCGTAGACTCCCGGTGTTTGTAGTTTCGGTAGTTCATCTTTTGAACTCTAGAAGGGGTGTAGCCGTAGAAAACAGCTGGCAGCAAGAAATAATTGATAACGGCAATCAGTCATGCGGTAGCCGGCCAAGGCGAAGAGGTGTGGCCGTTGAAAACAGGTGGCAGCGGCAAGAGGAAGCGGAAAATGCGGTTGGGGGTATGGTATATAACCTACGCCCATGGAAGCGAATCGGTCAGTCTGCAGAAGAGCGTGGAGCGAGCAGCATCAAACCACACCCTTGAACATGGAACGTGCAAGTATTCTGAAACATTATCGAACTAGTCAAGATATCCAAGTGGGAGTAACCTCATGTTATGTAAATAGTGTAAATATAATACCCCACTCAAGCTTTATTAATTGTTTAATTATATTTATATTTTTGAAAATGTGTAGTGCAAGCCACTGGCGGTTTGTTCCTCTGGGGCGCAAGTGTCTAGAGGAACAAATTGCCACCTGCACTAAATCGTTCAATCGGCGGAAAAAACGCACGTTAACCGTATAGGAGAGAGATTTATAAAAATGTTTTTTTTTTTAAGTGGAATAACTATTAATTCTATACACAACAATTATGTGTTATTTTTATTTTATACATCTAAAAAAATATATAAAACGGTTTGTTTGATTTATATGATTATTTAGGGATTACAGTTATTACATTGATGTTTCAATTGATGACGACTATTGGGTGCGTGTTGTAGATTATTCAGATTATATTTGTCGTTCTGTTCAAGATTTGTGGATTCCTAAGCAGATAGTTAGGTATATTCGAATAGTTGGTACAAAAAATACTGTCAATAAGAAATTCCAATTATTAGAACTATTGTACAATACTGAAAGATTGGGCTCGGTAAAAATCGAAAATGGATTTGTTGGTAAGATCACATCTTTCTCACCCGTAAAAAACCCCGATATTTTAACATAATAAATTATAAAAACATTTATAACACACAAGACTTTTTTTAATTTTTTAGCTCCCGATTACAATGTTGCTAATGAATCTATGAACGCAATTGTGCACGAAGGTGAACCACGTATAAGGAGAAATTTCTTAATTCATCCCTACTCTACTGACGCTAGAGACTTTCGGAATAACAAATATACATGGCATTCTCTAGGGTTGGGTTGTATTCGGATCCAACTCGCACAACCTTATATACTTAGTTCAATGAGGTAATGTTTTGAAAAACTTGCTTTTTCTAAATGACTATTTTATTGTTTGTCTTCATGTTAGTTGAAAAAAATTATAGTATCTTGTTAGATTGCCTAAGATACCTATATTGTATGCGTTTAACTTTATAGACCTAACTTAAATGTTTACCAACTCAATCGTTATTAGTTATAGGAATGTTATTGACTTTCATATGAGCAACTGTTGTTTTAATGTTAGGTTAATTTTAATTAAATTATTGATATTATTGTCATAATTGACAGAATGCTGCTTTGGAATGATAGGGACCTATTCTACAGTTACACCGTTGAAGTTTCTATCAATAACCAGGATTGGGTAATGATCATGAACAATTCTATGGAAAAGGCACATGGTTGGCAGGTGTTGCATTTTAAACCAAGGCCAATAGTTTTCATTCGTATTACTGGCGTGCACAGTTCAAAAGGCTCTGTGAGTACAATTTTTGTGTTTAAGTGTTTTAACTTTGAATAACTCATTTTATATTGTAGTTTTTCCGTTGTGTATATTTTGAGGCACCCGCTCAAAAACCATTAAATTCCCCCTACCCAGACCGTCATGTTGTAACACATTATGCGGTACGTACATCATAGTCAATGCATACTATTGTTGGTTTATTAAAACAATTATGGTTTTTACTATCATTAAGACAAAGTTGTAACGAAAATTTCTGTTTTCAGGAGAACAACGAACCATATATTATTATGGCAGAAGCACCGGGTCAACAACATGAGGAGACAGCAGACCAACAGGACAATGATCCGGAGTACCGATGCTCAGTTAGTTGACATACTACCATCTCAGACACGTTATAAAATAGATATAATATTTTTGTTATCATACGGTAAAATAGACCGACACATAATGTATGTGTGCAAACTCATATTTAGTATAATTATTATTAGTAAATAAAATATGAAAATTAATTATTTTTGTTTAATTAACATACCCTGTATAATTATTCCCAAACGTTATTTTAGTATTATTTATACTTGTTGGATGGGCCAAGTATACCATAGTACCACCAATATTGCAAGATATTTTAATGATTGTGTAAGACAAATCACTATGAAACCCTATCCCAGCTGAAGATGTGTATAAATGTATACATTATCACATTATTTATGAAAGCCGTTTTAACAGCGGCTGGCTTCTGAAACTATTTTCTCCTTATAACTAGTGAAATTCCTGGTTTACTTATTTTTTAAGTTGCTGACGATAAATATTTTGATACTTAATGGAATATGCCGATGGACATTTTTGAAAATTGATAAGATTTTATTTAATAGAATTGGGCACTCAGAATAAAGGCTTTTATCAACCCAAAAGCAAGACGAGTACAATTATTTTTTTTTTACTCTTGAATAGAGTATCATTTTAATTGTTTTTTTTTTCTGAACTATGAAGTTTACAAAAAATATTACAACTTTAATATTATCTGATGTTGAAGTGCTGTAGAGTAACGCGTGCAGATAAAAAAAACTCTACGTGCTCTACTCTACAGCACTCCACCTCCCGTCTTAAATGTTAACGTTTAATATCTTAAAAAAGTAAAACAGCAAGTGCAATAAAAAACGTGGTGTTTATTGCGCAAATCAGTATAAATTCATTTTTTAAATCTCCATACGCTTATACAATATTATCTTCATTTATCCATACTTATTCATTAGTATTTTTATAGGCACCATTAAATAAATTTGCCGCTTGCTCTTCAAAAATAACTCTTTCCAAAACTCAGAGTCAAAATGCGTCGATAAAAACTAGCGACTATTCAATCGGTGTGCCATTTAATTTATAATACAAAACCCTATAGCTAAGTAAAAAAATAAACATGGACATAATGTATAAGAATATATTGGTTTCAAATCTTCTGGGCAATATTAAACAATAAACAGCACAAAACACCGTACACCAATTGTATATACAGTCTTCCGTTTATCAACTTTGGTATGTAAGTATGAAAAAATGTGGTGCGCTATTATAACAAAACTACACATAGTTCAATTGGTTTTCTGCCTCCAATAGCAAAGTTTTCTTTAGCGTTTTTTTATAAAATATTCAACTTTTGATATTATATTAACACGATGTTCGTTTATTTTTTAGCCTTTATTATTTTATGGTCATCTCCAGGTATATAATATGTATTATTAATACTTAATTATATATATTTATTTTTTGTATTTTAATTTTAGCGTTAATTTCTGTACATAATTATGGAACTTAACGTAATCTAATGTGTTTTGGTATTTGTTCATCTATGAAGATTGTAGACTAATTTTCCATTTTTCAACAAGATAACTTTTAAAAGTTACCATACTTATGAACGTATTAGTAAAATTAGAGTGTCACTTTTGATTTCTTAACCTAATACCACAAGCTTTAAAGTATCACTAACCACCTAGTTGGATTGGTTATAACAATTGTTACTTAACGTGTATAATAACATCATTACTTTTAAAAATCTTCACAGACAATCCTAGTACCACAATTATATTAAAACTATAATATAATAAAAACTTTGAATAACTACTTCCCTAAATAAATAGTGAAATTCAACTTAAGTGTTTCTAAACCACGGTTACATTTCTGGCAGGTTTAGTAAAACATTTTGTGTGTAGTCAAAATATTATGTATTATGGTTTATTTTCAAATTATAATTTTTTTTCTTTATTCCGTTTACGTAGGTAAGATGTTATTTATTTGAACAAACTAACGCAAACGTTTTGTTGATTGTATACACTGTACAACGTACTTCACATTTGTATTTAGAGTAATCCGAACAAAATGTAAAATTGGATAGCTGGATTGTACTCCGTATCATAAATAAATAAATCATACTATCTTGTCCAAAAAATCATCTGTTTTTTTTTTAAATTTTAACTAGCGTGTTCTGTACCTGCCGGTCGTCCGTCTTCTTCGGTTATGACCGAGCAGCATAGTAATAAGGAAATCAATCACACCGACTTCTTAGTCAGTGACTTAAGGAATCTGTATCTAAGCGACAAGTATGTGATATTAAATTTGTACCTGTTAACTTTATTATTTTAACTATTTGGGGTTTTAGATAGGACTGAGGTTAAACATTATACTTAGAAAGATTTTGTTGATCCTGTGCATAGCATAAAGTTGGTAGGTTAGGTAAACGCATGCTCTTAAAACATGGATGACATCTGAATACTAAATACAAAAGAATAATTGTTATTTTATATTTTGGATTGCAAAAACAATTAATCGATTATGTAAGAGATATGACTTATAGGTGAATTAAATTTGACATCAATTAAAATTAAGCATGTTTAGTTTATATTCAGTTTTTAAATACCACAGTCGATAATATTAATTATTGGCTACGTGAAAAGTGAAACATAATAATTGTTATTTTTTGATAATTCGTAGCAGTATAATAATACATTTTAATGTTATTTTAGATTTTCTGATGTTGTTTTAATTGTCGATGAAGAACGATTGCAAGCCCATCGTGCTGTTTTGGCATCTCGCAGTGAATATTTTGGGTATTTAATTCTTGACATTAAGCATATTACCTTAGTATTTATTGATGGTAATTTGTTTTTGTAATGGTAGTAAATATTGGTAATATTGGTAAAATAATTACTTATCGGTAAACTTAATAAAACCGTGTATACATTTTAACACCTTATTGCATAGAGGTCTTAATGAATTCCATCAGCTTAATGTGATAATTAGTATAGCATCAGTAACCTTCTTTAAAATACTTCTTGAGCATATTTATACCGGTCGGATGAGATTAAGTAGTTCAAAGGTAACGTTTAATCGATATACCTTAACGCTATTCAAATTGCATAAACATAATCATAACTTTTGGAGATTTGTAGAGAATCTCAATGATAAAAACTCTGTGACTTCTCCGATAGTAATGTGCTGGCTTTTTTTTATTATTTACTTAACTTTTGGGAAGGGGTCTGGAACTTTTTTCATGGTTAGGACCTATATCTAAATTACGCAAAATAAAATAGAGTAAGTTCATAATGAGTTTTCGAATACTTACATCCTTATTGTATTCCTTGAGATGGACTGCAATGTACTGTGCTTGTGTACAAGTTATAGTACATATAGTTTATTTTCTGTATTAATATTGTGTATCACTTTTAGATCCTTATTGCATGGTAATTACATAGAGTCCCATAATTCTGAGGTGAATATTAAAGAAGCATCAGCATTCTCATTCAAAATACTTCTAGAGTATATTTATACCGGTCGGATGAGTTTAGATAATCTTGAGGTACAGTACAGCCGATTACCGATATTCTACCAACTAAGTGTGTTCTTTTTATTGAGTTCGTTCTCAAATTCTCATTGAAGTCTTAGAAGTTTGGAAAAATGATAGTAATATTTTTCATAATACATTCCTCTCTTGAACAGTATTTTTTTTTTTAAGATTGTGCGATCATTCGGTCAACTAGCTGTGTATTTAATTGGAAAAACGTTTTTATCAGAAAACTATAAATTAAATCTGTAATTATTATTTTTTAGGATGAAGTTATTTTGGAATTATTTACTATTTCGGATTACTTTAGTTTTCCAAACTTACAATATTCACTGTCCGAGCATTTGCGGCGTAACATTAGAATAAACAATGCATGTTCGATGTTTACTGTGGCAAGACTTTATCAACACAAACAACTTGTATTCGAAATACTCGACTTTATCATAACCCACGCTTTGGATGTATTGCAATCTAAAGATTTTCTGTCTCTGTCAGCCGTAATGATTTTTTTTTTTTACATAAAAAACCGATATTGCTCGTTCAAGATGACAAGTCGGGAAACGCAATTTATTTTTAGGATGCTCTTCAGGAAATTCTCATTCATGACTCGTTTTGTGCGGACGAAATTGATATATTCCGGGCGGTTTTTCGCTGGATCAAAGAGAATCAATACGACCCACAATCTGATGCAATAAGCAAAGTCTTATCAACTGTCAGATATCCGCTAATGAGTAATGTAGACCTGTTTGAGGTTTGGAATTCACAACTGGTTAGTTTTGATACAATTTCGGCTGCAATGCACTTAAGAGACACGGGGCCACCACATATACTTCAATTTCGAGGCCAGCTAAGTATGCCTGCTGGACATTTTATTTGGTATTTAGCAAAATATAAAGTTTGTCTAAATTATTAATTTTTTTAGAACCGAATGTGAATCTTGCTGATCGTTCTCAAGATTTTCAGATTATGAGTAACGTTGTCGGAGGTGCTATCATAAAGTTGGGACATCCATCAATCATAAACCATATTGAAATGGTATTTTACGATATAAATTTAGGGTATACATTTTATCAATTCTTTTAGTCATAAATAGACATTATTCAATAAAACTATTCAAAAAATTATAATAAATAAGACTATAATTCATGAGTTTCTAACAGGAATAATGTTATTTATTTTATTTGTTATAAAAAAAAAAAAAAAATTGAAAGCAAAAAATAATCAATTTTAAAATGTTAAAACTAATTTGTTTACAACAATACTTAATTTTTATACTATATTATAAATAATACACAACGGTTTTCCAATTTATTTGATACTTTAGGGATTTCAGTTATATCGTTGAAAATTCAATGGATGGGCAACATTGGTGGTGTGTTATTGATCATTCAAATTATATTTTTCGTTCAATTCAAGATTTATGGATTCATCCTAGCGTAGTAGTGTCATATATGCGTGTACGTAGAACCAATAGTACAGTTAAAACGACTATCAAATATCTTGAAATCTCGTATAACACAATAAAAAAGAACTTGGTGGAAATAGTAAACGGATTTGTAGGTAAGGGAACCAAGAAATAACCGTTCTTTGAATATCAAATAAAATGTTTTATACGTTTATCTAATTGAATGATTTCAATAATTCAGTTCCAAAGGAAAATGTTGCTTTATTACTTAAGGGTGCAATTGTAATCGATGGATTTAAGAATCTCAACTTTTATCATTTATTGAGTGGTGGGTACTACGATGGTTCTGAAGGATATACGTGGCATTGGGTGGGATCCGGTTGTATACTGGTTCAACTCGCCCAACCTTACGTGCTAAGTTCAATAAGGTAATGGTTTATAAGTACTTGAAATGTTTAATATGCTTTTGTATTATATCTTCTTACCTGTTGTCAAAAACTGTAGTATCCTGTAGATTACCATAGATATCACTTATGCGGTACTACTATTCCCAAACTCATTTTTTGTCGGTCTTTTTAATGTTATCCACTATCATATCAGTAACACTTGTTTAAGTAGTAGGTTTCTACGAATTATATGTTTTAATAATTTAGATTAAATTATCGATATTATTGCCACAATTTACAGGATGTTGCTTTGGGACCACGATGACCGAGTATACATGTACACTGTTGAAGCTTCAGTCAATAAGAACGATTGGGAAATTATCGTCAACAAATCTAAGGAGCCGACACGTTCTTGGCAGGTGTTGCAATTTGAACCCAGGCCAATTGTGTATATTCGTGTTACTGGCGTTTACAGTTCAGTAGGCTATGTCAGTTCAATTAATTTAAGTGTGTTTAATTTTTACTTTAAACAACCATTTTATTCTGTAGGATTTTCGTTGTGTATATTTAGAAGCTCCTGCTCAAGTACCATTAGATTCCAACGTCGTCGAAGCCGGCCGTGAAGTAACAAATTAAAAGGTAGTTACATCAAATCTAATACATACTATATTTGTTGTATATTATATATACTTTTTTACTATCATATTGACAAATACTTACGAACATTTTTGTTCTTAGGAAGATAATCTGATATCAGAAACATTGGCTCAAAGTTCTGTTGCATGACCAAATTCAAAATAATAGAAAATTTTAATTTCTTGTGTGTCTGTCATGATTGACAGATATTAATATATATTTTACTTGTTTGTTATTTGAACTTATTGAACTTACTTACAATAAAAAAGTTTTGTTTTGGTTTAAAATTATTGTAAGTAAATTTGTGCGTTCTTACACCTATGATAGCTGTGCATTCTTCAACTATATGGTTTACCGTTTGCACCATTCTTTCGGCTTCGCATAATGAAGAATCTTTACCACGGATATGATTTTCTCTTGATCCATTTTTCTGTCCATCGCTCTTTAATCATGTGACATGTTAGTGTTCTAAGGTCATCTAGTATTCTGTGATTTTTACCTTTTCGGGGATAGATTTTTTATACCTTCGTTTATTTGTATGTATTGGACGTATTAAGATATACGGGGATTCAATAGAACGCATCCCTGGTTAAGATAAAATGGTGCTTTCGAGTGTAAGGAAGTTTACGTCTGTATTAACTAAATACATGTATGCAACCAAAAATTATCTACTTACTAATTCAATCCATTAAGTTTTAACATATTCCTAAATTTATATTTATCAATTTATTATCATAGGCAGCACTGTAGTACACTCAATGTAGCAGCATCAAAATATTTAAACGCAATTAAATGTTATGTAAATGATTAGCTCATAGAACTAAGCAAATATGGTTGGGCGAGAGTAACATGCATAGTATGTGGCATTATTTTGACTATTCGCACATCCATAGATGTTAAAGCAACATCGTACTTTAGAGCTTATGGCATCAAAATCAGTCAAATAAACAAATAAACATTTTTTATATTTATCAAAAAATGATTTACTTTCGTGTTGTCCTTACCCACTAATCCGTTTTTGATTTCCACCAAGTGCATTTTGTCCGTATTGTACATGACTTTCAAAATTTTAAAAGTCTTATTACTAGTACTTTTGGTGCCAACAAAACGGATGTATCGAACGAATCTTCGGGTTATCCACAAACGTTGAACTAACTGACAAAGATAATTTGAATGATCTACAACTCGCATCCAATGGTACCCATTCATTTAAACTTCAATGTAATATGAGTAAGGCCTAAAGTATCAAATAAGTCGTACAAATGTAAAAAAAATGTTATAGTGTGTGTGATATAACATACGCAAACTAAACGAAAGTAATATTGTAATGAGTTTTGGAATGAAAACACACATTATGTAGCCCGTATACTGTGCCTATCTGGTAGTAGCACATATTAAAATGCATTTTTTTTACTAATAATATGCATAATTTTCAGTACTTTACTGTATGAAGAACATAAAGAATCCCGTGAAAAGGACGTGCCATTAAAAGAAGTATCAGCAACCTCATTTAAAGTACTACTTAAGTATATTTATTCCGGTCGAATGAATTTAAGTATACTAGAGGTAACTTATAGTCGACTTAGATGACCGGTATTTAAACGTCATACAAATTACTTTTTTAAGGTTGTACCTATTTTTATAGACCGCTCGGTCGATCGGTTGTGTTTTATGTATATAATTAGAAAAACTATTTATTTTCAAATAAATACATTATGTTTTTTTTTAGAGTAACGTTATTGTGGATTTATTAATTCTCTCGAATGTATGGCGTTTTAAAAAATTACAATTTTCATTGTCCGAGTATTTGCGGTGTAACATCAATGTAGACAATGTTAGTTCGTTGTTGGCTGTGGCACGTCGTTATCAAACCAAAGAACTGGAAGTCGCATCACTAAAGTTTATCGACATGCACGCTTTGGATGTATTGCAATCAGAAGATTCTCTCTCTTTGTCAGCCGTTAGGATACTTTCATAATAAAAAAACCAACGTGCTTTTGTTATGTTACCTGTTATGTCAAAACTTTTTTTTTTTAGAAAGCGTTACAACTAATTCTCAATCGTGACACGGCGTATGCTAACGAATTGGATATATTCCGTGCAGTTTGTCGCTGGATCAAAGAGAACCAAAACCACCTAGATCCTGATGATAAAACCAACATTTTATCTGCCGTCAGATATGAGCTTATGGATGATGAAGAACTGTCTGAAGTTAGGCAATCAGAGCTGGTTCGTTCGGATACACATATTTTGTGTAAAATAAAATCGAGAAAAGAGTCCCTCGAACAAGCATTTAATGACCGAGGACGATTAGGTTTGCCTAACGCAATTATTTGTTAATCAAATAACGTTAAAATTATCAACTACTTTATAAATATTTTCATTAAAAATAAACTAGGTTCTCTTAACGAAATCATTGAGTTTAACCAGTAAACGGTTTACATAACAAATGTATATTAAGCAAGATAAATAACAATTATATACTTTTTATTGTATAATTTACAATTAAAAAAAAAAAAAATCTTAAGACACCCATTTTTACCGGTTTTCCTCATAAGTATGTTGGCTAGTTGATTTCAAAAAATATTTAAAAAAATAATTAAATAATAAATCAAATTGAGAACTTTTTATACTTTATACATATTAAGGCACCCAATGGCGCTGTGTTTTTTATTTAGGCTAAATAATTAGAAAATTGGTGATACAGTAAAAAAATAGCCAAAAATTAAATGAAAAAGTTGAACAACGATTTTCGACGAATTTGTATAATGTTATGCTTATTAAGGTATCATTATTACTAAGGGAGTAATATGCTTAATGATAAGAGTTAAATACCTAAAATATTCACTGCGTGAGGCTAACACAGCACGATTGGCGTGCAATTTTTCATTATCTACAAGTAAAACAACATCTGAATACCTAAAATAAATATTAAAATTATTAATTTAAAAGTGAGTACTAAAAATGAATAATAACTTATGTATAGTTTAGATATAGTATAACAAAATAATTGGAAAAATAAGTTTAGTTATTAACTGCTTTTGCTTTGTAATATATTTAAAATTAAATTCCGATTAAATATATAATAATATGCACAAATCATTTTTTCACGTTTCCAGCTATAAAGTTTTCCTTTATGAAACATACTATACCATATACTAGTTGAATTTATATGAATTGTTCGTTAATTTTATAGTTTACTTATTTATTTATATATTAATCTTTTTTATATATTTTGTTTTGTTAGTTATTACATTTTAGTGTTTATTGTAGATACGGACATGCTTAGTGACAAAGTGGATGGTATGACCACACTTGGCCACTTAAAGTAATAAATTGTATTTTTAATACTATTATTTTTTTTTTTTGTATAATAATTTATCATATAATCACAAGTACTTTATTATTATTAATATTGTATAAAAATCCTAATAACTATGTTCTCTATTATTGACCAGTATGCTTTGTCGTTATATATGAGATAATAAAGTTTCAGCGATCGCCGTTAAGTAAAATGTATGATGCTGACGTTAATAAATTGTACTTAACAAACAATAATAGAATTAATAGTAATAAATACAATACTTTTCGTTTAGATATAGACTACTAATGTCGTTGAACAAGAAGTGAGAGTGGTCGATTTGCTCGGAACCGGCGGATTGGCCGATGACGATGGATCCTGGGTATGATCAGAAATTGCTAAAAAAATAAAACTGTTTTTGAAAACAAATTTGTACAGTTTTTTTACAATATAAATTAACGTCCAGCTATCTGGTTTTAAATTTTTTTAAATTTTTTAGAGGTTATTTTAGACAATATAACAAGTCAGATAGGATGTTTGCGAAAGGAAATAAGAAACTAATTAGGACATCTTTTAGTGAGCGAATAGCAAATACCGTAGATTACGATAATTTCCATAATTGTATTACCGTTTAACTTACCGTTTAAGATTATATGCTTCGATTATAAGGAGACAATTATTTATGTAGACGCGTATGAAATATAATATAACGTACCTGGAGTTGACCTTAAAACGATGAGCACAATAAAATAAAATATAAACACCATCATGCTATACGTGTTAATATGATTAATGAACACTATACGAAACACTTATAAAAAAAATGCAACGTCCATGGGTATTGAAAACTAACGGGAATATATTGTTTTGATAAACTAGCGCACAATTTTTTAGCAAACGCGATGGTGTTTTTAAAAGAAAAAATTATGTACACAACTGATGTGCGTTTTTTGTGCGATGCCTCGTTGAATTTGATCGTGCAGTAGCAAAATTTATAGGCAGGGTTTTTTTTTATATTTATCTTTAAAAATGTATTGAGAAAATAAAGTTTACAAAAAACGTCTTTGTTTGGTGAAAATAGGAAATTCAATCGCTATACTTTTTTTATAAACATATAACAACTTTACCAAATTTAGTGTTTGCGTGTAGTGTAATTATACCACAAATGTAATAATTAACGAGACCGTTTAGTTCAAATTTTCATTTATTCGCGTTTTGCACTCACTGAGTTCTGCTGGATATTAGGGAATTTTAAATAATAATTAGGTTTTATTTAGTATTAATAGTAGTTTAGTTAACTTTGAAATTGCCAAAACAGTGTTTTTTAACCACAGTAAAGTAAATATTACCTTATATTTAATTAAATTAAATTTATGCTGATCCAGTATTTATCCAGAACAGTTATTTGCTTTATTATTTATTTTAATTTTAATTGATTACATAAGTATAACACTGTATTAAATTTGTCTAAAAATAAAACTAACTGGTCATGTTTGCAATGAGTTTTTTCAAGGTTGACATTACTAAGTGGTAGTGGAAGTTCTTTTGAACACAATAAGCACCGGCAATAGTAAGACCTCGGAAAATTAGTCGATACTTAACCCCCCCCCCAACTCCTTCTACCAATTCAGGACCTCTTATTCATCCTCTGTAAGTTGGAAATGGTTTTCTTCCCATGTGAGTCTCAGAAAAGTTGAAAAGATGAAAGTCTGAAGGCGTCAAGTCAGAGAAATATACGGGGTTGCTCAAAATGCCCCAAACAAATACTTTCAATGACATTCCTAAAGAAAATTAAATCGATTTTTTTTTGCGAAATGCGTTTTTTGCGCCAAACCTTGTAACACATACT